TCATTGTTGTTTGGCGGGTCCGGGCTGGGAATTCGAACCCGCCACTTTAGGTGTAGGTGGCTGGCGCCTTAGCCGGTTGAGCTATAGGTGCCGAGCCACCCCTCCCTGACTTTTCATTGCTTTGCTGTCTGTCATGGTGACTTTGTAAGAATGTAACACCGTTAAGTATTCCATAGGAACAGAATCCCACACTCTGTCTTTTTGTGACTGGCATATTTTTCTTAGCAGAAAGTCTTCGAGGTTCATCCATTTGGTAGCATGTGACAGGATTTCCTCTTTTTTTTTTTTTAAGGCTCAGTAATGTTGCATTATATGCATGTACTATATTCTTATTATCCATTCATCTGTAGATCATGTGTTCATTCCTTCTTGCCTATTGTGTATGATGCTGTGATGAGCTTAGGAGTCCAGGTATCTCACTGAGAGAAACCTATTGAACTTTCATGTACACACACCTAGAAGTGGGGTTGCTGGATCACGTGGGAGTTGTATTTTGAATTTTTGCAGATTTCCATGATGGATAGATACACCTTTTTTCTTTTACAGCAACTTCTCCACATGGACTTAGGGTCTTCTGTTCTAACATTAATAGCCTGAGTATGTGGTCAAGTCTTTCTGCGATGCTAATTTGCATTTGTCTTGTGATCAGTGATGATGAGCATCTTTTCATGTGCCTCTTGGTCATTTGCTTATCTTCTTTGGAGTAATGCCTGTTGAAGTTCTTTGCCCATTCTGTAATTGGTTTATTTCTTTTTTTGTGATAAAGTTGTAGAAGTTCCTCTTGTAATCTGGATATGAACCCCTGTCAGAGACATGTTTTGCAAATCTTTCTTCCCATTCCATAGGTTGCCTTTCTTCTTTTGGTTGATAACTTTGATGCATAGAAGTTTCTTATTTAGATCTAGTTTCTATTGTGCATATTAGCTCTTCTTGCCTGTGCTTTTGATATTATATTGCAGAAATTCATTCCGAGTTCAGTGTCATATGGTTTTTTTCCTGTTAGTACAAGGTTTAGTGTTTTTTAGTTGAAAGGGGTGCCCAATTTTGTCTACTATTTTTTCTTAGATTATATTCAGGGGTATCCAACCTGAGGCTTGGATGCTTCATGTGGATTATTTCAGGACTGTTTTGCTCATCTGTGGTGCAGGATTTTGCAAAACTCATTCACAGTTCCTGTCTTTGCTCATCAGCTTTTGTTAGTGTTTGTATATTCAATGGGTGGCCCAAGACAATTCTTCTTCCTCCAAAGTGTGGCAAGAAAAAAAGGTTAGCCCCTCATATGTGACACTGTTCTTAGTAAAATGGCTGCAGAGCTTTCTCTCCTGGGTATTATTGTTGTTATATGGTATTAATTTATTTCTCGAGACAGGGTCTCACACAGTCACCCTGGGAAGAATGCTATGGTGTCACAGCTCACAGCAACCTCAGAGTCTTGGGCTTAAGTGATTCTCTTGCCTCTGCCTCCTGAGTAGCTGGAACTACAGGTACCTGCCAGAAGGCCTGGCTGGATTTTTGTGGCAGTTGTCATTGTTGTTTAGGTGGCTCTGTCTGGGTTCGAACCTGCCAGCCTTGTGTATGTGGCCAGCACCATAGCCACTTTGCTACAGGTGCTCAGCCGGTATATGGTATTTAGCATAAAGCTTAGCACGGGGAAGTGTTCAGAAGCTTCAGTCACTGCTTTTGCTGACATCATCTCTGATTTAGATTCTGGCCTTTCCTAAAGGCACCAAGAATGTTGTCATCTCTGAAGTCACCATCCATCCTTTGGTTCATCTAGATACTCAATATAACTTTCTGTCTCAAAAATAGTATCCAGCACACGTACAGAGATAACTCTGCATTTGCATTGATTTTTTTATTTTTCAATTTCTTTCTTTTTTTTTTGAGACGGAGCCTCTAGCTATCCCCCCTGGGTAGAGTGCCATGACATCACAGCTCACAGCAACCTCCAACTCCTGGGCTCAAGCGAGTCTCCTGCCTCAGCTTCCCAAGTAGCTGGGACTACAGGCGCCCGCCACAACGCCCAGCCATTTTTTGGTTGCAGCCATCATTGTTGTTTGGCGGGCCCAGGCTGGGGATTTGAACCCGCCACCTTAGGTGTATGTGGCTGGTGCCTTAGCCGCTTGAGCCACAGGCGCCAAGCCATTTCTTCTTTTTTTTAAGACAGGGTCTCACTTTGTCACCCTGGGTAGAATGCTGGGGCATCACAGCTCATAGGAACTTCCAACTCTTCGGCTTAGGCGATTCTCTTGCCATAGCCTCCTGAGTAGCTCAGAACACAGACGCCTGCCACAATGCCCGGCTATTTTTTTGTAGCACTTTCGCCAGTGCTGTGTTTGAACCCACCACCTTTGTTATATGGGGCCAGCACCCTACTCACTGAGCCACAGACGCCGCCCTATTTTTCAGTTTCTTAAATGGTCCACAGGAATGAGAAATACCCTCACATAGAGGGTATTAGAACCTTCAATGGAATAGTATAAGAAACCAGAAGGAAAGAGACACATTGTGCTCAGAAATACTATGTTTGGATTTGTAGGAACATTCACCTCAATGAATCCATCCTCTCACCTCTGTCTTTGCCTTTTTGTGTAAACATAAGAACTCTACCCGTAACCCTTTGGTAAAATGTGTTTTCATTTCAGAGCCCTTTGACATTCAGGGATGTGGCCATTGAATTCTCCAAGGAGGAGTGGACATGCCTGAACCATGCTCAGAGGACTTTATACAGAGACGTGATGTTGGAAAACTATAGGAACCTGGTCTCCCTGGGTGAGGATTACTTTTCTCCAAAGTTAGGATCTATCCTTGCATACCTTTCTGTTTTTCCTGATTTCATCTCATAATCCTCTGTGTTCTTGACTGAGATCAAAGCTGTATTTACTTAGAAATGAAAATCTTCATAATGTGCCATCTGGACGTTGCCTATGCCTTTGTTTATGTTATCTGCACCCTTCACCATACCAGGGCTGATGTATGCTGGAACGCATATGACTTTTTAAATAGCCAATTCTCTATTCTCTCCCTCTGTGCTTTTGGTTCAGTAGTTTTGGTAAGTCTGCTGGACATTGAAATCTTAAGTGTTCCCTCAGTAGTTAGAAGTGGATGTTTAGTGGATGAACTCGTGAAATATTTACTTAGGTCTCTCTGTAGTATCCCCCTCCTAACTTTACTTGGGGCTGAGATTTGGAGGAGTGCCAGGACTAGATGTTTCTTTATTTTTTATATCTATGAGAAGGAATCTCTCTTTTTGACCTGAGTGTCACGTCCATCTTGGAACAAGGTTGAGGCTGTGGACTCAGGAGAGTGAAGTAGAAATAGCAAAAAACCATAGACAGGTAGGAAAGTATCTGTGAATTACAATAAGTTTCTTTTCTTTTCTTTTTTTGGTTATAAACAGAGTCTTACTTTGTTGCCATGGCATCATAGCTCACAGCAAGCTGAAACTCTTGAGCTTGAGCAATCCTTTTGCCTGAGCTTCCCAAATACCTGGGAATGCCGACATCTGGTACAATGCATAGCATTACATAGCAACACAATGCATAGCTACAATGCATAGCAACCACAACCCATAACTAATTGTTCTATTTCTAGTATAGAGAGAGGGTGGCAACTGTGTTTCAGTAAGGAGGGCGCCAGCCCCATACATTGATGGTGGTGGGTTCGAACCTGGTGAGCCAAACTGCATTAAAAAAATAGCCAGTTTGGGAGGCGCCTGTGGCTCAGTGGGTTGGGTGCCAGCCCCATATACCAAGGGTGGTGGGTTCAAACCTGGCCCTGGCCAAACTGCAAAAAAATAATAGCTGGGCATTGTGGCGGACGCCTGTAGACCCAGCTAGTTGGGAGGCTGAGGCAAGAGAATCACCTAAGCCCACAAGCTGGAGGTTGCTATGAGCTGTGTGACGCCATGGCACACTACCAAGGGCAACAAAGTGAGACTCTGAGTCTACCCAGGGTGAAAAAGTGAGACTCTGTCTCTACAAAAAAAAGTAAATATTGCCAGGCATTTTGGCAGTCTCCTGTAGTCCCACCTACTTGGGAGGATGAGGCAATAGAATCGCCTAAGCACATGAGCTAGAGGTTGCTATGAGCTATGATGCCATGGCACACTACCAAGGGCAACAAAGTGAGACTATCTCTGAAAAATAGAAAAAGAAAAAAGTATAGACAGAGTTTCCCTCTTGCTCAAACTGGTCTCACACTCCTGGACTCAAGCAATCCACCCGCCTCATGTCCCTGACTGCTAGGATTACAGGTGTGGGAAACAAGGCCCAGGTCAAGGGCATATTTGAGTAATAGCCTTCTAGTTTTGTTTCTTCAAACATCCCTCTACTTGACCAGCCAGTGGATCATGATTCTGCACCCAGGATTTGTCTGCATTGCTGTACCCTTGATAACAATACGAGATGATCCCTCTCTTCTCCATGGCCATATCCAGGTATTTCCTTTCAGGGCTGACTGAAAGCATACCTGCATATGATGTCCTACCATCTCCCACCCAAGTAGCAACCAGGCCTGATGTACCTTAGTTTCTGAGATCAGTGGAGATTGAACACATTCAGGATGGTATGGCCATACACAGTTTGTAGAATCTTTTAATGTATGTTAGAAATAGAGTTCAATGGTCATTCAATGTGATAAATTTAATTTCATAGTAAACCTTGTAAGACTTATAAACCTAGTATCTTCCCACATTGTCAAACCATGTCTCCTTCCAATCTCTTCTATTTTAGCCCCACTACCACAGCTTTAGTCTCATAATTGAGAATGGGGTATTTGTGTGTTGGTTGCTAAATTACTTTTCCCTTACTACTGCAGTCAGAATTTTTTAATGACATGGTGTATTTCTGTTTCCATAGATTTGTAAGTATAATGTCTGTGTCTGCATACCCATGTAAAGACATATTATGTATGTAGTATTTTAGTAATCACAGTGGGGTTTTAGCATATTACTTTTTGTATTGCTCAGCATGCCACTTTCCGCAAGACCCTTTCCCACCAACACTACTCTCACCACATAAACCTACTTGCTTACCATTGGCAAAATATTGCTGGACACTGCCTAAGTTGTTATTTTCACCAGTGTCCATATCAGGATGTGCCCTGTGTAATGACTCACACACCATGTCCATGAAGGATGACTGAGTAACTCTGTTGGAAACACAGCTGAGACTTCTGTGTCCCTCCAACTGTTCCTTCCTATGCTCCTCTGTTTCCTATGCCCTTTTGTTTCTGGTGCTTCTTCAAACAGCAGTTGCTCCTAAGGTCATGTGTGAGCCTGCACGTCCTGGGTCAATTCCTGTTTTTCTCATTTAAGGTACAAATTGGGATTAGTTACATAAATGCTGTTGACCTGCTGATTTCACATGAAACATAGTTTATATCTTGGTTCCTCTTACAAGTTAGTGCTGGTTGATGGCTAAGAATACTTTATGGTGTATGTAAAGACTGCTTATTTCAGCATAGGACCTCAGCAGTGAATTTTGACCAATATCAATGTTTAAATCATAGTTGTGTGAATTATCTTGTATAGGATTGTATTTCTCAATTTGTTCTGAGTAATGTTTTCTGTTACCCTAGTTCATATGTTTTCTAAGTACAACTACATCAATCCCTATAATCATTGACCATTCATGTGCTTTCAGCCCATTGCAGTGCTTTGTCTGCAGGGTAAAAATACTCTCCCTTCAGGATTAACATGGGTTTTTGTGAGGTCTTTTGGTAATAGGTTGTTTCATGCTAGACTTACCTGCCTACTCTTTTGAATTACATGTAATCTGCTTTTATATGTGTGTGTATATGTGTATACACATATATATATATTTTTTTTTTTATTTTTTTTTAGAGACAGAATCTTACTTTGTTACTCTTAGTTGAGTGTGCTGGCATCATAGCTCACAGCAACCTCCAGCTCTTGGGCTTAGGCGAGTCTCTTGCCTCAGCCTCCCAAGTACCTGCGACTACAGGAGCCCATCACAACACCTAGCTATTTTTTGTTTACATTTGGCTGGGGCCAGCGCCCTCTCATTGAGCCACAGGTGCTGCCCATCTTTTCTATATTTAAAAAGAAAAAGTTTTCCTAACAATTAGGAAATTGTATGTTTTATAACTCTGCGTGCTGTGCCTATGCTACTCTTGGTATAATGTTATATATTTCAATAGGAGGTAATTAATGACCATGTGTAATTCATCAGACACCTGTTGTTCTTTATATTTTGTAGGTATGTCTTCTATATGTGGGATAAATGTATTGCCACATAAAGAGAACAGTCGTACAGAAGAAATATCCCCCTCAGTGATGGTGGAAAGGAATGAAAATGATGACATTGAAGACTTTTGCTTTAGGGAAATCCTAGAGAATGTACTTAACTTTGGAGGTCAGTGGAGAGAAAATAAAAGCCATTTCAGTGGAGTCCATATGACTCTGCTGAGAAATCTCACTGGTAGGAGAGATCACTATGATAGGAGGGATACAGGAAACAATGTTCCTCAAATAATGCATGAGAAAGACAAACGATTTAAATCTGATATATGTGCCAAGGTGTTCAATAAAAAATCAAGCCTCAGAAGTCATCAGAGAGTCCATGCTGTGAAGAAAGCCTACAAGTGTATTCAATGTGGCAAGGTCTTCAATTACATTTCACAGCTTATACAGCATCAGAGAATCCACAGTGGAGAAAAACCTTACAAATGTAATGAATGTGGAAAGGTATTCCGTGATAGTTCAATCTTTGCACAGCATCGGGCAATACATACTCAACAGAAACCTTCCAAATGTAATGAGTGTGGAAAGGTATTCCATTCTAGTGCATCCCTTACACGGCATCAGAGAATTCACACTAGAGAGAAACCTTACCAATGTAATGAATGTGGAAAAGTGTTCCGTGAAAGTTCAGCTCTTGCACAACATCTGAGAATTCACCCTAGAGAAAAACCTTACAAATGTAAGGAATGTGGCAAAATGTTCACTTGTAAATCATCCCTAGAAAAGCACTGGATGATTCATACTGGACAGATACCTTATAAATGTAATGAATGTGGCAAAATGTTCATTCAGAAATCATCCCTAAGAAAGCACTGGGTGATTCATACTGGAGTGAAACCTTACAAATGTAATGAGTGTGGTAAAGTGTTCACTCAGAAATCAGCCCTGCAAATGCACTGCATGATTCATACTGGAGAGAAACCTTACAAATGCAATGAATGTGGAAAGCTATTCCGTTGTAGAGCAGCCCTTACACGGCATCAGAGAATCCACACTGGAGAGAAACCTTACAAATGTAATGAATGTGGAATGTTATTCCGTTATAGTGATGCCCTTGCACGGCATGGGAGAAGTCACACTGGAGAGAAACCTTACAAATGTAATGAATGTGGAAAGGTATTCCATAAAAGTTCAGCTGTTGCACAGCATCTCAGAATTCACCCTGGAGAAAATCCTTACAAATGTAACGAATGTGGCAAAATGTTCAGTGATGAAACATCCCTAGGAAAGCACTGGATGATTCATAATGGAGAGAAACCTTACAAATGTAATGAATGTGGTCAAACGTTCACTCAGAAATCAGCCCTGCAAATGCACTGCAGGATTCATACTGGAGAGAAACCTTACAAATGTAATGAATGTGGCAAAATGTTCACTTATAAATCATCCCTACGAACACACTGGAGGATTCATACGGGAGAGAAACCTTACAAATGTAATGAATGTGGACAGGTATTTAATCGTATTTCACACCTTTCACGACATCAGAGAATGCACACTGGAGAAAAACCTTACAAATGTAAGGAATGTGGGAATATGTTCACTCGTAAATCATCCCTGGCATATCACTGTAGGATTCATACTGGAGAGAAACCTTACAAATGTAAGGTATGTGGCAAAATGTTCACTGGGAAACCATCTCTAAAAATGCACTGCAGTATTCATAGTAGAGAGAAACCTTACGAGTGTAATGAGTGTGGCAAAATGTTCGGTCATAAATCATCCCTACGAATGCACTGGAGGATTCATACTGGCAAGAAACCTTCCAAAATGTAATGAATGTGGAAAGGTATTTAAGTGTAGTTCACACCTTGCAAAACATCAGAGAATTCACACTGGAGAAAAACCTTAAAAATGTAATGAATGTGCCAAAATGTTCAGTAGCAAGTCATCCCAAGGAAAGCACTGAAAGATTCATGCTGAGAGAAACTTTACAAATGTGATGAATGTTACAAGATCTACAGTCACAATTCACACCTTGCACGACATCTAATAATTCATACTGGTGAGAAACCTTATAAATGTAATAAATGTGGGAAAGTGTTAAGTCACAATTCACACTTTGCAATGAATCATTGCAGAATTCATACTAGAGAGAAACCTTATAGGTATGATGAATATGGCAGTCTTTAGTCAAAATTCATGTTGCCTTTATCATCAGAGAATTCTTTTTTTGTTTTAATCTCTTTTTTGTTTTGTTTTTTCTGGGGATTTTTGGTTCGTATTAAATCATAACTATATGCATTTATGTGATTCAGTGTAGTGGTATGATGTACAATGAAAAATGCTTACATGGAACTGATTAACACATATATCCATCACAATTTTACTCTTAGTCATTTTGAAATGTACCATTGCATCAGGCACATTAGAGGAGGTTCCCCCAAATACCCTCCCTCCTTCCCCCTTCCCTCCCCACTTTCTCCTTTTCCCTTCTACTTTCTAGACTACAGTAATGTTTTACTGTTCATATAAATGTGTAGGTGATTATATATTGATTTCATAGTAGTATTGAGTACATTGGATACATTATTTTCCAATCTTAAGATACTTAGTAGAATATGTTCCAGCTCCGTGCAGGTAAACATAATAGATGTGATGTCTCCATCTTTTTTATGGCTGTATAGTATTCCTTGGTATACATATAGTGTAGTTTGTTAATCTGTTGATGGGTCATTGGGCCCTTGGGCTGTTTCCATGTCTCGGCAATAATGAATTGGGCTGCAATAAACATTCTGGTGCATATGTTTTTGTTGTAAAATGATTTTTGATTGTGTGAGTATATACCTAGACGAGGAATTACAGGATCGAATGGTAGATCAACTTTTACTGCCTTGAGTATTCTCCAAACTTCTTTCTAAAAAGGCCATATTAGCTTTCATTTCCACCAGCATGTAGAAGTGTTCTTTTCTCTCTGCATCCATGCCAACATCTATAGTTTGGGAATTCTGTGATGTGGGCTGATCTTATGGGAGTT